TAACAATAATAACAACGAGCCACAGGATCGTTAATAAAGATTCCATGCTCGAGGGATCACGATCGTTAAGGAAGCTTTGTGGAAAGAAGACGATGGGTCAAGTGGTGAGGAAATTACGCGATGAATATTCGATAAGAAAACGAATTCTGTCAAATAGTAATTAGCAAACGGTAATTTAACGATCGGTAAAGGAAAAGAATATCGAGAAAGCGGCCAGTGACTAACGTAGCTGTAAGCAGAATGCAAAATGACGGAACCATGCCAGAATTGGAATACGAATCGTATCGAATAAATAATAAATAAATAAAAAGATAGATATCGGTTGGGTTGATCCGATATCTCTTGATTCGATTTATAAAATTTTTGGGTTTGGAGAGTACGTGGAACTCGTTTGTAACTGGAATAGAATGATAATTCGATTCATTCAGTGTAGATAATGAAATTACGAGGAAAAAAGGCAACTCGGAAAAGTTCAAAATTAAAACTTTTCCTTGAATCTGAATAATTTCATACTAAATAAGAAAGTAATAAGTGTTATAATCTTTGATAAAATTTTGTAGTTACAAAATAAATAAATGGCTCCATTTTCTGACTTATAAACGATAAAAATAATTAACATTTTATGATCTCTTGTCTCCAAATCGAGTTGTGATAATCTTAATAATCGAATGTTTACGTTATGGCCACAACAATTAAAATATCGTTATATTAAAATAAATGTCGTCGAAAATTACAATGATGAAATTAATTACGAATTTTAACGAGGATCGAAGTTAAAATAAAATTCGTAATAAAATTACGTACGAGATACATAGTTTAAGTTTTTAACAAATTCAATTCGCGGGATTATGGTTTCAAAGTTTTAAAAAAAAAGTGAAAGAACTAAATGGAAACGTAATTATAATTTTCTCGCTTCATTGAACAATGAATGAAAAATGCAAATGTGGGTGTGTTGGGAATGACAAGCTATTTATACAGGTGAATAAACTGGCACTAATATGCGCAGCTTTTACCCTTCAACACTAAATATTTCTCGTATGAACGGTATTACGTATATAATGAATACTTGATGAGAATTTAAAGAATATCTCTTTTATTATTGCGTGTTTGCAAAGAATAACTGAACCGTAATAAAACAGTTTTCTCGCTCTTCCTACGCGTGTATTTACTATTTCATGAAATAAATTACGCCGAGATATATTGTAAAATAATACTACGACGGGACTTCATTATAGTAGAACGGAAAAGTAACGGATTAAAAGACCGAATTTGAATTTTTAAATAGATGCAAAACGATAAAATAAATTTAAGAATTTAAGAAATAAATAATTTCGAATAATTTAAATATCTATCTCAATTCAAAAGAATTTAAACTCGATCGAATTTGACTTAATTTAAAGAAATTTAAAATATTTCCTTAAAATTCGAGAATTTCAATAACTTTCCCGATGATTAGAAGGAACAAACATCAGTTTAATCCCCTCAATTGGTCCACCGAGGATAACGACAACTTCCTCTTCTTAAAAACGTCAATTGCGGCCAACGAATGAATAACCAAAGATAACTTGGCGTTCAAAAAACAGGTAAGGAGACGAAGGACGCCTCTCGATCTCTATTATTCCATCTTCAGGAACCGCTAAGGCAAACTAATTATACGTTAACAAGCTTGGACAATGCAATATGTTCGCGGTAACAGGAAGTAGAAACGTGAAACACGCGTCTTGCCTATTTCCCCTCCCTCCCCTCCTTCTTGTTTCCTTTCGTTCGCTCGCCTATCAAAAACGAACACTTTCTCGTAGTCACGTGAGAATAAAACACTCACGTGAGACTATTCGCTTCAGTCACACTCTTTGTACACGATATATCTACCTTAAAGAACGATAAA